GAAACGAGTAATTCCTGGACACATGGTCCAAGCATCAAAAGAGTATTATGATACTTAAGACAAGCCGGTGTGTCGCGCCAGATTTTGTCAAAATCACTCGATATTGAGTTGATGAATAAATGACTTGAATTGCGCCTCATGGGATGTCTGAAGGACTAATCCTAAAATATATGATATCATAGTTATATTCCCGGGAACTTATAAGCATGATGTTTTTGAACATCATCAAAACTCTTAAAGAGTTATTTGAAATAAAAGATCTTGGAAAGACAAAAGTAATTCCAGATATTCCAACTAAACATCTAAAGAAATAGATGTTATATAAGTCACTTCTAAAGGAAGTTGACTCTATATAAAGCACTATATATTATTGCTGACGAGTATTTATATATTTTGTGAATTGTAGCTAGCATATATAAATGCTGACGAGCATTTATATATCTAGTGAATATATTATACCTAGCATTTGCTTCTGATCTACTTGCAGGACTAACTCATCTCCTAAGACGAGACATTGAGATGAGTTAAAACGTATCTTCTATTATCTGCAAGGTACGATTGACTTGGGCTTATTTTATTCTAGAAACCCCGAGTTTGGTTTAGTTGGTTTTGCAGATGGAAAATCTATATCAGATCTGTCTAAATATATATCGCAAAACAACAACTTCGTGGCGTTTTCAACAAGAAATTTTGGTCGTCGCTTGTTCAAGCCATGCCAAAATTATTACGCTCCATGAAGCACGTTGAGAATCTGTATAGCTCAGATTGATGCTTCAACATATACAAGAAGCAAGCAATATAGTCGCCAGTGAAGAGCCAACAACATTGTTTGAAGACAATGTTGCATGTGTCGCTAAGTTCAAAGGAAGCTCTGTCAAGATCGATATGACAAGACATGTTTTCCCAAGATTCTTCTCATGCACTCAAGAATCTGAGAAGAAGCAAGAAGTTGATGTCCAGTACATCCGGCCAAGTAACAATGTAGCAGTTTTAGTTCAAAGGTGCTGCCTGCTACCTCATTCAAAATGCATCTTTTGAAGATGACACTTCTAGGGGGAGACATATGATAATACGCGTGGCTGCACTCTTTTTCCCTTATCATGGTTTTTATCCCACTGGGTTTTTCCATGACAAGGTTTTTAACGAGGCAGCAAATAACACGCAAAAGATAGACATCAAAGTAAAGGTCTATCTCTCTTCTAAAATCTTTGTCATATATTGACGAGGTCAGAAGAAGCGCAGAGAATGATCGAGTTATTTATGAAAGCTATGAAGAAAACAAAACTCGTCTATTCCAGTGGGAGATTGCGTCACTGTACTCTTTTTCCCTTATCATGGTTTTTCTCCTATACGGTTTTCCCATGATAAGATTTTTAACGAGGCAGTACGCAATACGTTGATGGTGATGGATAATCAAGGGGGAGTGTTAGAAATGGATAATTAGTGTTTATCCATCACAATTGATATCATCTCCTAATCTTATCTAACACTTAGCTTGGTCTCCAAGCTACTTGCTCACCAAGTCATTTGATGTTTATCCATTGTCAACCTTACTATATATACCTCACTTGTAAACGTTGGAAAGACATAATAAGAGAGAGAAGTTAATAAAGTTTCATTTTGCTCTCTCGTTTCTTGTTTCCACTCTCTCTCTCTCCATAACAAATAATACATCTCTCTTTTATGTAGTATAATAATATTATACATATATATACACGTTATATTTTATAACACTGGAGTACTACATTTTACATATAAACCCCAAAAAGACCTTGAGAAATGAAAACTAAATGTATCGAATGTATCCTAACCGAATGTATCGAAACGATACCAAACTGAAATAGAAGAATCGAACTGAACCGAAACCGACAAAATAACTGAATAAATCCAAAACTTCATAATTAAAAGAATCGGACCGAACCGAAATATTTTGGATATCTAAATAGAACCGAATACAATTATCTATCCAAAAATATTAGTTATTTTATACCGAATAATAAAAATACCCGAATAACCGAACCGGCACTAGAATGGATCTGAACCGTATTAACCGAAAATAGCTAAAAATATCCATAATACCCGAAAAATATCCGAAAATTCCCAAAAATATCCAAAATATCCAAAATACCCTAATTTTTATGTTTTCTGGGTAAAAACCGGAACCAAAAAATTCCTAATTGGTTATTAATTCAAATAACCAAGATATCCGAAACCGAACCGAAATTTCAATATAATCGAATGGATACTAAATTTCCTAACAAAAATACCTGAAATCCGAAAGTACCGAACCGAAATAGAACGGAATACCCACCCATGACTACATAGAAGGCAGAAGAAAAGTAAAAATTTTTGTGTAGTTGGGGATACCTATGATGACTACTTTTGGAAAAATATGTATCGTAGTTGGAAGCTATAAGAAGAATTGTGAAAAAGCGAGATTATGAAACTGTTTGAATTAAAATGTTTTGAGAAGAAAAAAGCACAATCGTTGCCTCGATATTAGAGCTTTTCTCTCTCTCTTGGCGACAAATCCAGAGTTTTAGATCTAGTTTTTTCTGGGTTTCTTGATCTTAATTGCAGGGTTGGACTTGCATTTTCGACATCGGGAGTGAACCAGTGTTCTTGGCGTCGACGGACTTCCTGTTGGTGATGCGGTTGTGATGTTTCCTGCCGGTTTTGAGGAGCCTCGCCGGTGGTTCTTCTGGTCAAGGACGCTGGAGGAATTGCCTGAAGCTGCTCGTGGCTCACCGGTGAGTGGAAGTGTCTCGGCTTGCGGCGGAAGTTGCTAATAGGATGGCGGGTCCGCCGTTTGTCTTGGTGTTTACAGCGGTTAATTAGTACCGAGTTGGCTGCTCGTGGTGCTGGGTTGATGAAGGATGGGTTGAGCCTCCGTTCTTGTTAGCCTCCGCGCGGCATTTTCACCAGACCGGATTTGATGCTGTTTCGGAGATGGTTTTCGTCGGTGTTTCTTTGGTGGGTGAGGGTTCGATCTGTCTGTTCTTTGGTTTGCTAGGTCGAGAAATCAAAGTTGGGGTTCCGGTTTGTCGGAGGTGATCCTATTCCGGAAGGTTTGGAGAGGGACATGGCTCGTCGATGGTTTCGGATCAGTGAATGGATCCAAATACTCCAGTCTCTGTTCTTGCTCTTCTCGATTGAATCGCGATTCTCTGGGCCTTGTATTTGCCGGTCTAATTAGGTCATCTCTGTTTTTCGGCCACCGCCGGGATAAGATCTCGGCCACCAGAGATCATCGGAAAATTTGTTTCACTTTTGTACCCGTTGAATAATCTGTAAGGCCCAGCCCAAGCCCTTTTAAAGTTGATTATTAATATAAATATCTCTTTATAAAAAAAAAAAAAAAAAAAAAAAAAAAAAAAAAAATGTTTTGAGAAATTTATCGGTCTCCATGGATCATTGTTATATAAGATGTTGTCGTGTTGGGTTTTGTTAACCGGGGTTGGTATACTCTTAAATGTGGCATGAACAATCAAAATTAGATGTGTGGTGGTGCGTGGTTAGCTCGGATTCATCTTGGCCAAATTTGATTATATGTCTAGAGTGTGCATGATTAATTGCATAAACATAAAGTGGTGATCTTGTAATTGTTGTACTGCTACAAATACGGTTTCGACTCCATGAGGTTGGCTTTTATAGTGAATCTTTTAGACAAAATCAAAAGCTTGATGTCGGGTGTCGTCTCCTTGAAAACTAGACTCATGTATGGTCAACTTTGAATTCAATTACTCGAATAGTTGCAAAGGCCGTGAGTGACGGGCCGGCATGGACAATTTCACTTATTTCATGCCCTTGGAGATCCAACTTGGCTCCACAATCACATTTTAAAGAATCTCGTTAATGGAAAGTCTTAATTTCTAAAGGTATGCTATATTTTATGTTATTGAAATTTTTAATTATGTGTTTCTGTTGCTTGAAAGTTATTTTTTTTTATAAAAGAAGCAGCTTTTTAATCTGGAAAATGAATCAATTCAAAAAGTATGAAATTCACTTTACCTATCTATAACTTTATTGTTTATTCACATGAAAACTCATAAATAAATAACTACTCCCTTTTGTTCAAAAAATAAAATAACTACTCCTTGAATTTATCTGGAGGTTATGGAATTTAGTAATTTACAAAAGACTCAAAAAGAACACACACAAAACGGCTTATGTTGATGTCTTTGTCTCGACTAGAGCTAGAGAGACTAGAGAGGTTCGGAACTCCTAGCCAAAAACCCAACTTGTAATAGTCCGAACCTGGCTAAGACCAATCTCCTTTCTCCACGTTTTCTTCTCACTTTTGTCTTTGATGTCGACATTGTCCCTTAAACACATCCACTTCTGCGTAATCCAACCCAATAACCTAAATTTAAATTCGAATACATTATATTATTTATAAAGTTGAACCATATTTTTGGGTACTAATCTCTCCTATTGTTTTCTTTCGTTATGTTTTCATGCGCACTTACCAAATTAGCAATCTTTATTCTTTTGTCACAAAACAAACATAAACATATCTCTCTAAATTATATGCTTAAAAAATCTAATCAAACATATTATGGTCCCAACTTCTAATTAGCAATCACATATACACATATTATAAAAGAAAAGAATATTTTTTTCTTTTGGTAAACTAAAGAAAAGAGTATTTGTTGTAAGAAAAATCACTTATAATGAATATAAAAAATAAAAGATGTCGATTTTCAAACCCATAATTAGTGGAAAAAAATTCGGAGGGAAATACTAATTGATTAATTTTCAAAGTCCTTTTTATGTCATAAAACAATAAATTCTCAAACCCCATAATTAGTGGAAAAAATAATAAATCAAGTATTAATTTACTTTTCTTTTTCCAGATGTATCTGTCTTTTTCACAATCAAATAAGCCAAAAATTCATTTATTTTTTGAAAATTCATTGACCACTGCGTGTTAGCTTCCTTTACGTGTTTCTTTCTTTCCTCTCTCTCTCCTCTGTCACGCTAGAAACATAAATATGATCACTTTGATTTTCTCCGACTAAACCCAGAAGTCTCAGCTTCTTGTTAAACTCGTAAAGTCTCAATCTTTTACGAGTTCTTAAATTTTGTTTCAATTAAAGTTCTTAAATTTGGTCAACTGTGTTTGTTAATAATTTAAGATTTGTTCACATGCATAATGCATTGAATATTTGTTTTTTTTTTCTTTCAAAGTTCTGAGATTTGATTCGATGCTTGAACAGATTCACAATTTTATGAGAAATTGGACAAAACCCTGATGTCAGATTCCGTCAAAACGACGGTGGATCCGCTTTTGAAAGATTTAGATGGTAAAAAAGAGAGTTTTAGGAGAAACGTTGTGTCTATGGCGGCTGAGTTAAAGCAAGTGAGAGGTCGTTTGGTTTCTCAAGAACAATTCTTTGTTAAAGAAAGCTTTTGTAGAAAAGTAAGTTCCTTTTTTTTTTATTAATCTTCTCTCACTGTTCATTGGTTTTGATTCTCTGTTTGGTAGGGTAAAAAAAAAAATCTAGTTTTTATTATTTGTAATTCAGAGGAGAAATGATTTGTTTTTTTTGTTTGTTTATTTTAGGAAGCAGAGAAGAAAGCTAAGAATATGGAATTGGAGATCTGTAAATTGCAGAAGAAATTGGAAGATAGAAATTGTGAGCTTGAAGCTTCAGGTTCTGCTGCTGAAAAGGTTTGTTATATTCTCACAAAACCCTTTTGATTTTTATAATATATGACTAAAAGACTTCAAATTTGATATTGTTATCTGAAAAGTTTGGGGCTTTGAGTAGTGTTGTTATAATGGTACTGAAAAGTGATCATCATAGTTTGGTAATCAATGGCCCTTTTAGATCTTTGATTAAAGTAGATGAAGCTGAGTGTGGAAAAAGTTGACTGTGTTCAAATTTTAAATCTATTATAATTAATGTTCAATGAAGCTTGACCTTTTCAAAAGGAGTTCCTTGAATGGTTTCTCTTATGCTTTGTGATCTTGTTTTGGGAAAACAGTTTCTTGAAGAAGTGGACGATTTGAGATTGCAGCTAGCTTTAACAAAGGAAATTGCAGAAACAAGTGCTGCTTCTGCTCAATCCGCACAGCTTCAATGCTCAGTGCTAACAGAACAACTTGACGACAAAACACGATATCTAAGAGAACATGAAGACCGTGTAACTCAGCTCGGTCACCAGCTTGATAATCTTCAGAGAGATTTGAGGACTAGAGAATGTTCTCAAAAACAGCTGAGAGAGGAAGTTATGAGAATCGAGCGTGAGATAACTGAAGCTGTTGCAAAGTCTGGGAAAGGTACAGAATGTGAGCTAAGGAAACTTCTGGAGGAGGTTTCTCCAAAGAATTTTGAGAGAATGAACAAGCTATTGGCGGTAAAAGACGAAGAGATTGCAAAATTGAAAGATGATGTAAAGTTAATGTCAGCTCATTGGAAACTCAAGACTAAAGAACTTGAATCTCAGGTGAGGCATCCATAACTCTGTCCTTATTCTCGTGTTCTGTCGCGGAGAGTTTCAATATTTGACTGATAAATGACTATTTTCAGCTGGAGAGACAAAGAAGAGCAGATCAAGAGTTAAAGAAGAAGGTACTGAAACTGGAGTTTTGTCTGCAAGAAGCTCGTAGCCAGACAAGAAAGCTACAGAGGGTAAAGTCCAAGATTAATTGTGGCTAGGTTTCAATTTATTTAGCTTTTCTTGATTTAGTATATGAGAAAACAAAATGTTTTATTGTATGATTGATGAATGGAACGCAGACGGGGGAGAGGCGAGACAAGGCAATCAAAGAGCTAAGAGATCAGATTACCGGAAAAGAGTTGAATGAATCGGTTTCAAGGGAGAAACCAAACTTCTGGGATACTTCAGGGTTCAAGATCGTCGTGTCAATGTCGATGTTGATATTAGTGATTGTCTCCAAAAGATGAGTTCTTGTATCTTGAACTCTCTTTCTTTTTGTTGGTGTGTATATGTAGTAGTTGGATATAGTAGTAGATAATGGTGCATATTACTCTTTGAGGTTAGTGAAGAGAAATCTTGTTTCCTTTTGTTAAGTTATAAGTTTGTTCTTGTGTATTTGAATCATTTGTCAGAAAGAAAATATGCCAACTTCCGTTGAATTATAAATAAATCTAAATAGTAAATACCTCATTTAGTTGTGAATGAACAAGGTTTTACAAGGGACTCTTTCAAAAGTAATCTCTATTTTACACTAAAATCTGAAGCCCACTTCAACAACACTTATCCTTAAGATGCAACACATTATTACACCTTTACACTTATCATTATCTCTTTAGGAAATGTATGAGTCATCATCTTCTCCTCCTCATTATAAATATGAGTAAGTACAAAAGATCCAAAAGTGAGATGAAATAAGAAAGTCATAATAAGAGTCTGAAGAGTTAGTTTTTCTCTCCCAGTTATTTTCATAATCTCTCGTTTTGATTTTATATTTTGCAATATGTTAACAGCACGATTGTCTTTTCCGTCGAGTCAGCATCTATCGGTCTGATCGTCTCCTTACTCGATCATTTTCTTGGTCGTTCCATACTGTAAAAGTGTGGTACCTTTTATATTAAATTGTATGTTGAATTCATTAATTACGGAGTAGTAGGTTATGCCTCCTCGAAATCACATGACTAGTTATAATAACTGATTAATATAGATAATCATGTCAAACTTGGCCAAACTCGATAGCGTTTCCCCCGACCTATGCAGAAAAAATTATGACATAGGCATCAATATAAGAATGCATCTTAAATCAATTAGGCTTCTTAACTCTATCGATCAGTCGGAAACGACATCAGAAGAGAATAAGGACAAAGCCATTATATTCCTACAACACCATCTCCTCGATAGTTTGAAAAATAAATACATCAAAAAAAGATCTTTGGCAGTCAGTCACTCAGAGATAGGTTTGATCACCAGAAATTTGTGATCTTACTAAAAGCTAAACATGAGTGGCTAAATCTATGGTTTCTAGATTACAATAGTGTTAGTGATTATAATTTTGATATATAAAATCACTTCGAGGTTTACAAAAGAAAACACACAAAAAAACCGAAACTAAATGAAACCGAACCGATAACCGATCGGATAATCCGACGCCCATGAGCCGATGACTAATTAAAACTAAAATTAACCACGACATCTAAACTGCTATGTACTGGCCCATAATGTAGCCCAATTACTCGGTCCAATTACTCGACCCAATTACGTGAACCGCCTTTAACCTGGATTAAGGAATAATTAAGGACCATTCATGTTAGTAGTTTAGAAGTTTCGGATTCGATAAACTCATCAGTTTTAGCCTTCCGGCTTCTGCTTAAGCTCTCGAGTCTGCGTCAAGATTTTTGGGGGAAATTGATTTCGTTGTGAAAACCCTAATTGATTTGCAACAATTTCGATTTCCTTTGACGAACAAATGGCAAAGTATGATGAAGCAATCGCCATTAACGATGCGGTTCACAAACTCCAGCTCGCTATGCTCGACGGTATCACTGATCAGAATCAGCTCTTCGCGGCGAGGAAGTTAATATCTCGATTAGACTACGAAGATGTCGTCACTGAACGAACGATCGCTAAGCTCTGTGGTTATCCTCTTTGCCGGAGATTTCTCCCTTCCGATGTTTCTAGAAGAGGAAAGTATCGGATTTCATTGAAGGAGCATAAGGTTTACGATTTGCAGGAGACGAGAAAGTTTTGCTCTGCGGGTTGTTTAATTGATAGCAAAGCGTTTTCGGGGTCTTTGCAAGAGGCTCGTACATCGGAGTTTGATTCCGTGAAGTTGAATGAGATTTTGGGATTGTTTGGTGATTCGGAAGTGAAAGGTTCTTTGGATGTGAATAAGGATTTAGATTTGTCTAAGCTTATGATTCGGGAGAATTTTGAATTGAGAGGTGAAGAATTGTCTTTAGAGCAGTGGATGGGTCCTTCTAATGCTGTTGAAGGTTATGTTCCTTTTGATCGAAGTGATTGCAAAGCAAGAAATGGCAAAGCCGGTGGTAAGTTCCTATGGAGTGATCAAATTCTTTAGTTACCAAATGATTGATCAATGTGTAATATAAGTTTGGTTTTGGCAGATTCCAAGGCTACTCAAAGTAATCAAGAGAAGCATGAGATGGATTTCACTAGCACAGTAATTATCCCTGATGAATATAGTGTTTCGAAGCTTCCACCGCAAACCAAGCAAGCTTCTCCTGTTGGGGAATCTGATGGTGGCAAAGGGAAAACAGTTCTGAAAGAGCAAACTGTAGTTCCTCCCACCAAAAAAGTTTCGAGTAAGCACTAAGGAGCTATTAAGAGTAATAGGCCTTATGAACAACATATCTCTAAGAAATGTAGCCGTATATGTTACTTAGTCTTGCTTAAAGGTATTTGGCTGGTATCATGAATGTTTTGATTTTTTCGTCGGGGAGCCTGAGATCTTTTGGTGGTTATTAAGCCATTTCTAATGATGTTTGAAGCAATAAATGTCGTTGTCCATGCTCTCTATTTAGCTGGATGATCTTGAATTCTAATGTGCATTTGCAGGGTTTCGTCGTGATAAAGAAAAGGAGAAGAAGACTTCCGGGGTTGATGGGATTGATTTTGCGAGCTTTGGGTTTGATGCGATGGATTGTGCGAGTTCTGTTACAAATGATGGATGCAGTGTTGAATATAGCGTTTCAAAGCAACCACCATGTTTAACGGAAGACCCTATGGGTGGTCAATTAAAAAAGGATCATAAGACTTTGGATGAGAAAAGTTCTCTAACAGGATCCTCTTCTGCAGCTAAGAATAAAAGTTTGAGGCTTCCAACACAAGCCAAACAAGCTTATCATGCAGGGGAATCAGAGGATGGCAAAGCGAAACCAGTTATGACAGACTTTGGACAAACTACAGTTCTCCCCAGAAAAAAATTGAGTAAGCACTTAGGAAGCTGTAAAGATAGTTTGGCCTTACTTGCAAGATATCTCTTAAAAATATAATCTGTATATGTAAACGTTTTTTCATTTTGAGGTATTCATCTGTTATCACGAATGAGTTTCTTTATTCCTTGGGTGTCTTGAGTTCTCCTAATCATTGTTAGGCTTTTTTTTTGTGTCTGTGTGACTCTGTTTATCTGTCTAATATTGAAGTCTATTGTGCATATGCAGGTTTTTGTAATGATCCTGAAATATTTAAGGACATTAAGAATTTCGGGTTTGATGAGATGGGTCTTGAGAGTTCTGCTATTATGAGTGATGGATACGGCGTAGAATATAGTGTGTCTAAGCAACCACAATGTTCAATGGAAGATTCTCTTAGTTGCAATCTAAAAGGAGGTCCTCAGACTTTGGACGGGAAAAATACTCTATCAGGATCCTCTTCTGGTTCTAATACGAGGGGCTCGAGGACAAAACCAGAAAAATCAGGAAAGAAAATTATTTCTGTTGAATACCATGCTAATTCGTATGAAGATGGTGAAGAAATCCTTGCAGCTGAATCGTATGAAAGACACAAAGCTCAGGATGTGTGTTCATCAAGTGAAACCGTCACTAAATCATGCCTTAAAATTTCTGGCTCTAAGAAGCTTAGTCGTTCAGTTACTTGGGCCGATAAGAATGATGTTCGTGGTGATCTTTGTGAGTTTAGAAACAATGATACCACAGCAGCTCCTAGCCTGTCGTCTACTGATACAGAGGATGTCAATTGTTTATCACGCCTTGCATTAGCAGAAGCCTGTGCTACGGCATTGAGCCAGGCTGCCGAAGCTGTTTCTTCGGGAGATTCAGATGCAAGTGATGCCAGTAAGTTCATAGGAGGTGTTAATTATGCTATGATACTTTGGATGTCCATATGTTGTGGACTTGCATAAATTCCTAAATTTTGCGCTTTGACATGTTTTGTATAGCTGCGAAAGCTGGAATCGTTTTGTTGCCAAGCACACATCAACTTGACGAAGAGGTTACTGAGGAACATAGCGAGGAGGAAATGACTGAAGAGGAACCAACTCTTCTCAAGTGGCCAAATAAGCCCGGGATTCCAGATTCTGATTTGTTTGACCGTGATCAATCGTGGTTTGATGGACCTCCAGAGGGCTTCAATCTCACAGTAAGTCTCTTAAGCATTTAAAATGTACTCACCCATTAGGACTGTGTTGTGTGTTGAACTAAACTCACTGGTCCTCCTCCTTCCTCAGTTATCAAATTTTGCTGTGATGTGGGATTCACTGTTTGGCTGGGTATCATCGTCCTCTCTGGCATACATATATGGGAAGGAAGAATCTGCTCATGAGGAGTTCATATCAGTTAACGGGAAGGAGTACCCCCGGAGGATTATCCTGGGAGACGGGCTTTCCTCAGAAATCAAGGAGACAATGGCTGGGTGCCTTGCCAGAGCTTTACCTAGAGTCACCAGTTATCTCAGGCTGCCAATAGCAATATCCGAGTTGGAAAAGGGACTGGTAATTCTTCAAACTCTTATCTTGGGATTAGTCTGCTATTTGTCTAACTAGGAAACCAAATAGTCCAGTTTTAGAGAATTTAGTGATTTATTCCCATCTACCTTTTTAAAATGTAAATAGTCCTACAACAACCTTAGTATATAAGTATGGAATCATTTTTGAAAATGTAAACTCTTTATCAAGTTCCTCTTGAGAATCTTGTCTCAAACTTATGCTGAGAAGTTTATATATAGTTCTCAGCGATATGGTTGTGATTTGTTGTTGAGCAGGGAAGCTTGTTGGAGACAATGTCGTTGACTGGGGCAGTTCCATCATTTAAGATTAAAGAATGGCTAGTGATTGTTCTTCTTTTCTTGGACGCGTTGTCTGTATCACGTATCCCTCGTATAGCACCTTATATGTCCAACAGAGACAAGGTTAGTTACAGTCAACTTTAACATAATAAAAGGTGAAATCTTAAGCGAATTTAATCTATTGGTTATATTGGTGAAAAATATCAGATTTTGGAAGGAAGTGGAATCGGAAATGAAGAGTATGAGACAATGAAGGATATCCTATTACCACTTGGCCGTGTTCCTCAGTTTGCTACCCGAAGCGGGGCGTAGACAAAACCCGGTTTACGGTTTATTGGAAGAAGAAATCAACTCTAGATATATGAAAATAGAGGATTCTATAATTTTGAAACCTTTGTTTTTGAATGTATGAAAGATCTGGAAGTCATGTTTGGCTTGCTTTTTTTTTTTACTTATAACAAAGATTTGTTGCATTCGATATATGATAAATGGGTCAGAGACGTTCGTTGGGTTGTTCCTTTTGTAAAATTTCTTATAAAAAAATTATTGATATTTTTTTTTGAAGTCGTAGTTAATGAGTTTGAATTGAAATGTCAAATTTTCTTTGACTAAGACATGTTTTGGTCTAAGCTTTTGATTTTGGACAATGTGTTTCAATGCATTTTCTATGCATACGAGAAGAAAATTTTGATTGACTAAAGTAATATTTTACAAAATCCATATTTTTTGTCCAAAAAAATAGTAAGAAATAACCTCAGTCACCATTTGGCCGTTGTCGGGTATAATATCGTTTGAGGCCTTTGTTGTCGAGTATAAAGGCGCTTGAGGCATTTACGGTCAAAGCAAGGAGTGAACATTCTCACTCCCCGCTCTCCATCTCCGTCACCACCAGTTTGGATGAGAGTGCCGTCTTTGCTCACGGAGCTGGAAGAGCACCACGTGCAAAGGTACTTAGAAAAGAAAGACAATTAGTAATATAGCCAAAACCGACTAGGCGGGAAAAACCGCCAAGACCTTTCTTGTGATAGATGAAGAAAAACGTTAATGTTTTATCAAAAAAAAGGAAAAATGTTGATTCCAATGGCCATATAAATATATCAAATATTATAAACAAAAACATCAAATTCATTTAAAAGATTCATTGTTAAATTATCTTTGATTACATTTATTACAATCAAGTTAAAATTGAGTAAAAAACAATTAAACAAAAACAACAAAAAATATTGACAGAAAAAGATCAAGCAAAAAATAAGCAAAAAATAAGTAAAAATTTAACTTTTTATATGTTAGATAAAAACTACATATTAATTGTATTTAATTTATATAATTAATTGGATGCTCATAACTTAATTAACGTAAAAATCTCTAATCAATAGATATGATAAGTATTGCGATCATGTGAGTTAGCAACTTTTTAAAATCAAGTTTTATATAATAAGATATGAATCGAACACTTCCATAACATTATTATTATTATTATTATTATTATTATTATTATTATTATTATTATTATTATTATTATTATTATTATTATTATTATTATTTTCATATTTATTATTATTACATAATACAAAAGAAAGAAATGACTTCAATGCTCTTTAACTCCCAACTAAGGTTTTCCCAAATTGTTGTAGTTTAGATGTATCTACTATCACTAAGATATATCTACTATAATCTTTGATATAAAAAAAGAAGACACGTTAGAACCTCCGGTTGTTCTTTTTTCGGCCCTTTTGAAACCCATTAAGCACTAAACTGGGCTATGTTCGTTTGCCTGTCGCTGAATCCAGCGACATCGTGTTGTTCGTTTGTTTTTCGCTGTGTTGTTCATCTGTCTATCGCTATATTTTTTAAAAAAATTTAAAATATTAATTTATGATAATTTATATTTTTAAATAAAAATATAAATACATATACATTATTAAAAATAATTAATTTAATGTTTTTTATCTACTTTAATTTTTTAAAATTAATTTAATTAGATTAACAATTTAAAATTAGTTTATTAAATTAAATTAGATTTCTTTTAATATTTATAAATTTATTTAGTTATATTTTTAATTAAGTTTAACTAGATTAAATTAAGTTTAAGCGATTGGTCGCTGGATCTAGTGACAGACAAACGAACAACTTTTGGTCGCTGTCGCCAGAGATAGGCAAACGAACAGGGCCAAATAAACCAAAAATATCTACCTTGCAAAATTATGTGAACCCCAACTATTATAAAGCCCAAATCCAACCATTTCACCTTACGCACAATAACCTAAATCTTCTTGCAAAGAATGTTTGCTACCATGGAGACGAGTTCTCTTTCCCATCTCATCCTTTGAATCCATTGTTTTGAGTGTATGAAAGATGTTGAAGTCATTAAATGGGTCGAGACGTTGTATTGTTCCTTTTGTAAAATTTCTTACCAAAAAATTATTGATATTTCTTTTTTGAAGTAGTAGTTAATGAGTTTGAATTGAAATTTCAAATTTTCTTTGACTAAGACATATTCTAGTAGATTGTGATTCTAGAGAGTATTTTTCTATGTATACAAGGAAAAAATTATGATTGACTAAGTAATGTTTTACAAAATCGGTATTTTTTAATCAGAAAAATAGTAAGAAGAATTTTCATTTTATTTAAAATTAAATGGATTTTCCAAATTTTACTTGGCTTCGGATTTTGAATTTTTAGAATTAAAAAAAAAAATTCATCAACACAATTCCTAACCAGAATCTCTTGTTAGTTATATAAAAAAAACTTGGTTCCACATTAAATTCACATCCTCTTGTGTGTTTGTTTATATATGAATGAATATTCATGGAATAAAGAATTGTCCATAATGTTTTTCCTAACATATAATATTAAATGTAGTAGGGATAAAATCCAATAATTGGATGAATTATTGAGATAGGTTACTCTAGATAGATAGGGTCTCTCACCACACCATATAAAAAAGAAATGGTCGTTGATTATTTTCTTTTCTCTCCTCTCCGACACGTTTGACCCAACGGCCCATTTTAAAAGTCAAAATTAACCTCATTTATTGAGTTTTTTTTTTTTTTTTAACTAAAAGAAAATTCAAAGAACATATGATGGTTTACGTTTATTAATCGCATTAAGATAATGGGTTCTATGTGTATTTTCCATTACCTTTATCTTTTGTGTTGGGAAGAAGAAAAAAAAGTTTGAATGGTCAAAACTCAAAAAGAACCAAAACCAATGTAACTTTTAAAAATTCTTATTACTAACTTCGAAGAGTCCCATTATTATTATTTTTTTCACTTAAAAGACTATCCCATTTGTATGATTCATGGACTGTATCAATATTATTAAATTTTTACAATATAGTAATAATCTCCAACGCATTATACCATACGCTTCACGAGAAGCCAGCTATATAGAGAGAGAGATTAACGACGAAAAAACACACAATAATAAAATAAAAAATTCGTCTCACCGGAAAAAAAAAAGTGAGAGAGAGAGAGAGATTCATCATCATCAAACCCACAAATCCTTAATCGTACGGATCTCTCTCTTCATATCCTAATTCTTCTTCATCTTCCTCGATCTGAGATTTTAGGTTTTCTTCCGTAAGTTCAAAGATCTCTCCTTTTTCTTCAAATTTCTCGTCTCAAATTCTGGGTTTTGGTTTTTATTTCGAACTACCAAAAAATTTAGGTGTTTTAGCTTCAGATCTGCTTTCTATACACTTGGATACATCACTGGATTTTGATTGGTTGATTTTTTTTTTCTCTAACGAACTTAATTTGGTTTTATTGGTCTAAATCTTCTTACTTTAATGTTTGGGTCTTTTGAATTTGCAATTTTTTTTGGAATAGAATATTTTTTTTAACCGTTAAAACCCTTTCCTATTTCGTAATTTTAGTTTTCTAAAATGTGTTAAAATAATAAAAAATGTGTTAACTTAATTTCGTTAATCAGATTTTTATTTTTATAAGAAAGATTTTTTTGTTGTTGTTGAAATTGAATTTGTAAATTTTGTTTTGTTTTCTGCTATGAACTAATATAGTAAAGCTACAAATTTTATACATTGGACTCATATCTGTGGTTATTGTTACAGGCTTAGAGTTTGAAGAGTTGAGATAAAGAAAGAATCAATTTTGTAGCCTGAAAATGGCGTCAGTGGGGATAGCTCCTAATCCTGGGGCAAGAGACTCTACTACACATGCTATTGGTGTTGATAAATTACCTGAAGAAATGAATGACATGAAAATTCGTGACGATAAAGTATGTTTTGATGCCTTGTATTATAGTTTTTTGGTATGTTTTCATAGAAATCTTAATTGGGTTGTGGTTGTTAGGAAATGGAAGCGACTGTGGTAGATGGAAATGGAACAGAGACTGGACATATCATTGTGACTACTATTGGTGGAAGAAATGGCCAACCAAAACAGGTTCTTTTTGATCTTCTTGAGTTTGTTTGAGTGATTAGTGTTTCATGTTTTATTAAATTTCCTCTTATGTGAATGTAGACAATTAGCTACATGGCTGAACGTGTTGTTGGACACGGATCTTTTGGTGTTGTGTTCCAAGTGAGTTTTGTTCGCTTATCTCTAGCTCTCTCCATGAAAATGTCTCAATCAATTGACTGAGTTGGATTCCTTTTTTTTTTATATGATTTAGGCGAAATGTCTTGAGACGGGAGAAACTGTTGCGATAAAGAAAGTTTTACAAGATAGGAGGTACAAGAATCGTGAGCTTCAAACCATGAGGCTACTTGACCATCCTAATGTTGTGTCTTTGAAACACTGCTTCTTTTCAACCACTGAAAAAGATGAGCTTTACCTCAATCTTGTTCTTGAATACGTCCCAGAAACCGTTCATCGAGTTATCAAACACTATAACAAACTGAACCAGAGAATGCCTCTCATATACGTCAAGCTTTACACTTATCAGGTATCAATTATTGCATTTTTGTTAGGTTTAAGAGTTTTTTTTGGATCACTTATCTGTTTCTTCTATGTTTGGCAGATTTTTAGGGCATTATCTTACATTCACCGGTGTATTGGTGTGTGTCATCGTGACATAAAGCCTCAAAACTTGTTGGTATGAAAAAACTTAATAAACCAGAACTCACAGTATACCTCGATGTTTACTTGTCCTCAATGTTTAAAGCTACTTTTTTCTCATGTACAATGAAACAGGTAAATCCGCATACTCATCAAGTTAAACTATGTGATTTTGGAAGTGCAAAAGTATTGGTGAGTTCGATAAACCTCTTTCGGGTGCATTTTTTCTTGGAAAAAATTAGATTCAATCTTGTTGATCATTGTAACTTTTGAAAACAGGTAAAAGGAGAACCAAACATCTCCTACATCTGCTCGAGGTATTACAGAGCACCTGAACTTATTTTTGGAGCAACCGAGTATACGACAGCCATTGATGTCTGGTCTGCGGGATGTGTTCTAGCTGAACTATTACTTGGACAGGTAATGCATTAAAATCTCATTCAAACATTGTTGTTCTACTTAAACTGAAATTTTGTGATTGACAAACTGTATTCTCTGCTCATGGCAGCCCTTGTTCCCTGGTGAGAGTGGTGTTGATCAACTTGTAGAGATTATCAAGGTATTAGCCTTGCACTTGTTCCAAGTTCTTGTTTTCAATAATTTTGATAGAATGTTTGATGTAATGTTTATGCTTTGGGGTAGGTCTTGGGAACGCCTACTAGAGAAGAAATCAAGTGCATGAACCCTAACTACACGGAATTCAAATTCCCTCAGATTAAAGCTCATCCATGGCACAAGGTATAATTAAACTGATATACATGAAATCAACATGTTCAATGTCTTCTTCAGTAACAGTTACAGTCAATAGTCAATGTGACAAATTCTTCTCATCATATATTCACAGATTTTCCACAAACGCATGCCTCCAGAAGCTGTTGACTTGGTCTCAAGACTTCTTCAATACTCTCCTAATCTACGAAGTGCCGCTGTGAGTATTACTTACAAGTCAACATTCTTCTGTAAATCTTCTTGATGGTCCTTTCATTTCTCAGTTTTCTGTTTTCTGACTTGCATTTGTACATCTGATCATAGCTCGACACTTTGGTCCACCCATTCTTTGATGAGCTAAGAGACCCAAACGCACGTCTACCTAATGGACGTTTCCTTCCACCACTTTTCAACTTCAAGCCTCACGGTACAACATCTCCCTTTCCTAATGGTGTTTAGCTCAAACTTTCCTATAAAATCATCGAAGTTTTGCTTTACTAAAGCTGTGCCTGTGATTGTTGTGAAACAGAGCTGAAAGGTGTACCATTGGAGATGGTAGCTAAGTTAGTACCTGAGCATGCAAGGAAGCAGTGTCCTTGGCTCGGTTTGTGATTTCCTTAAAACCCTAAAATGTAGCATGAACACAACACTTCTATAATCTCCCTCTCCCCTCTCTATGTATCAAATATGTCACAGTCTGATATGTATCCTTTGTTTGTTGTATGAGTAGAGAAAAAAAGAGTTATTACTATGGTTAGTTGGTTGGTTTATAATGTAAAAGCCCACCAAGAATTTTTATCTAAGATAAAAGAGTGTCTTTTCTTCTTCCTCTGCAACAATCAACAAAGACCCTTAAAGTCACTGTAGCCAATACAAGAAGCCTCACGCTCATAAACTAATAAAAGCCTAAACTTTTTGATACTTCGAGTCGTCGTCATCATCGCCAGAAAGATGCCGTCGGGGAAATATTACTGTGATTACTGCGACAAAGAGTTTCAAGACACTCAAGTCGCTAGAAAACGCCATCTTCAAAGCAAACCTCATCTTCGAGCTAAAGCCCTGTGGTACAGTTCTTCCTCCTCAGGTCTCTCTCTCTTCTCTCTTTCTCTCTGTTTCGCTTATGTTTCTTAAAGGAACGATTTTTAACATCTCTGTTTCTTTTAAAACGAAATTGTTAGATCTTATCCATCCACAAGTCTCCAATTTTGCGACGAAGGGTCTCTGCAATCGATTCATTACCTCGGTACGTTGAATTGAGTTTTTGCTCTGTTCATCATCTTCCTAGCAATCTCTGGATGTGTAAAAGTCTTGTCCTTTCGTTTATTTTCTTGTTGAATCACAAATTTTACATTGCCTTGTTTGTGGGTTTTGTACTAATTTTGATTCTGGCAAAAAATTTCATTGCATATGTGCGTATGTGTATAATCTTCCAAGTAAAGTTTGTTCCTTTCTTAATGGGTTTTGCAGAATTTTTGCCCATTCGGAGATTCTTGCAGATACTTTCACCCTAAGAACAATCCAGGAAGCACAGGTTAGGTCAAAACTTAAACCAGCTGTGATTTGGTCTCTTTTAGGCTCTGCTTAAAGCTTTAAAGAAGTCGCTACTATACGCAATCATAGATACTGTCTTGTGTATGCTTTAAACATTATCCTTCTTTTGAATTCAAATGCAGGATTCACAAATAATACGCAACTTCATGTTGATATGCTTAACCAACACATCGAAGGAAGTACTTTAAACCGTATGCTGTCCTTGTTTTTAGCCATTCAGCTTCTGTCAAATCTTTTTAAACTTGTAGAAATCTGATGTTGGAAGTTTTAATTGTCTAAAACAGGTGATTATGTTAGTGGGAGACCAGGAGCTGGTTGGTTTGATCTTCCGCCATCTCTGAAACCGCCTCCTGAGCAAGGCTATCCTCAGCTTCCCTTCATAGACTGGGGATAGAGAGAAATTCTCTGAATAATGCTTAGATTCAACATTGATGATTCTACTTGAAAGTAAAACTAATCTCTGTCTCGTTGTGATTTGCCATTGCCGAGCCTTTGGCCACAAGCGTCTGTCTTGTTACTCAGGCAGAAAGTATTTTAGAGACATTGTTTGATAAAATGTTGTGCGATTTTCTGATTAAAAAGTCTTTGAATTTTGTTGGTTTGTCCACATTCATTGCGTGAGTGTCTCCGCCTATATAAACAGAAAATCGCGCTTAAGATATCGACGATAGGATATCGCTACGCTATTCGCTTCCTGGCCATGAGCTAAAACAAGACTTCATTCCCAAACCAAATTAGCAAGATATTTGACAAAGTAGGAGCAATTAGCTCCTAAAGCTTTAGATTAATTATCCTTAGTGGGTACAAATTCCAAACTTATATTAAAGTAAACTTGGTGAGAAAGGTAAGCAATCTGCAAATATGTATGTGGAAGCAAAGCGTTTCGAAGTGTGGATGCAGTTTTTTTAAACACACTTTAAAAACAGGTACGTATTGAAAGCATATCTGAAAAAATCTGTTCTGAATTTTTTTTTTTTTTTTTCACAAAGATTAGATTTTATTAAGGCAAACAGCCAAACATTACAAGCATGGGCCAGAAAAGCCCTACAACAAAAACAGTTACGAAAACAAACTAAAGCCCAACATAAGCTTAATAACACGCCTCTTGGAGAAGAAGATCTTATCAAATAATGTCCCTCAAAGCCACATGTTATCAACACGTGTAAGATGAGTAATCGAAAGATTTCCATTGTCATCCTTCGCCGTCGGAGCCAACGATTTTTCCGGTGAATGAATTCATTTGTTTTTCACCGGCTACTGCAAAACAGCATCATGGATAAAGTACAGAGCAATTAAACTCAACTATTTGCTAGAATCATCAAAGAAATTTGAGATCCAACTAAACGGTTAAAGAGAATAATAAATCTGGTTAATCCAAAACTGTTAACGAGACCAATCGAAGCTCAAAAGACAAGAAACAGCTAAAGGCAATTGTAATATGCTAAGGAAATTGCTTCATATCTTCAACTAAAAACGCGGATCCCTTGGATGATTTTCGTAAACTGCAAGCTCAAAGGACGAGTTGGAAAGGAAACACTTATGATCGCCACAAACGTCACCACCAGCACAGAACCTAAGAGGTAAAAACTAAAAACAAACAACGGCACCAAAAGCACCGTGAGAGAACCTAAAGCTAGCCATCGTCGCGTGATCCGATCGATGCCAGACAAAAGCCGGCCAACCTCGCTGGAAAAGCCGAGAGATGCCAGAAAAGAGCCAGCCAACGGTTCTGAATAAGCCACCGATGCCGGAATAAAGCCAGCCATCGTAGTTAAAGAAACCAAACGATGCCGGATATAAGTCAGCCAACGCCACTGAAGAGGCTATCGTTGTCGGAAGAAGTCACCACTAATCGCTTCCTCTCTCTAATTTATAATCTGTTCTGAATATATAAATTGTTTTTGAATAACTCAACTAAAATAAAAAACAGATTGTTTAAAATCAAATTTTAGTAGATAATTTAACATTTACACCAAAAAAAAAAAAATTAGTAGATGGAATCTTAAAATTAAAAAATCACATTTGTAAAATATATACAAGAGGAAGTAGAACACTGATTATTTAAAAGATTTTGCCACGTTAGAGGTACGTATAGCTGAGTTGTAATGGGACCCACAATTTGGTAGGTTTGTTTCGGTCAAATGTTTAGAGTTACGAAGATGCACCTGAGACTGAGAGATTGGGGAATAATTTCAATCAACACAACTACCAAAATAAATATCTTCAAATGTTTTAGTAACACGATTCTGATACTTATTAGTTGAAAAAGTTTCCTGTTCAAATACTTGCATATTTCCCTGCTTTAAATGTTTCCAAACGAACTACATTGCTAGATCAACGTTGAGTGAGCCGAAACCAAATGATTTCATTTGAATTATATCATACTACAACACTAACTATAGTGCTTTATTACCGACCTGCTAACGTTATGTAAATGGGAGATTTTGAACAGGCAATTCGAGCAACGGAAACAGAAGAAAACTTAGTTTTCTCATACATCATTACTGTATAAGAAGTTTATGTTGAGAGATATGAGTATGGAAATAGAGAGGTTACTTCACTTCTTCCAAATCTCATGAAGCTCCATGGTACCTAAACCATGATAACTTTCAGGATGATTCGTTTGCTCTAAAAGCTTGATGCCCTGGTTAATACATAATAGACGAGATAAGTGAAACGATGATGAAAACATTACACTATTACGATGTTCTTAGAATCATGCCTCACAAATGCTTACTAAGAGGAAAACAAAACACAATGTTCCCCAACAGGCCAACAATATAGGTGCTCCTTCACGTTTCTAATAACACCGGGACCAAGTTGATGATAAAAACAAAGAAATGAAATGCTAATCAAGATTTAGTCATGTTTTTATGGAGATAAATGTTCTGCAATGATCAATATGATTGTTGAGAAACTAGAAGAATCAGGTTTATTGGCAAGAAACGACTATTATGAAAGCAAAATATGGTATTGGTTACTAAAACCTAAAAGCGTACCTTATTCAACCAGATAGAGACGTGCATTTGAACCCATCTCTTACAAGCCCGTTTATTGCGTCCCTGAGCCTATGATAATCCTCAGGTTTGTTGTAAACTTGAAAAGAAATACGCACATACCCCGTGATCGGATCAATCTCTCCGTCCCCAGGTGGCCTAAAGTAGATCGGGATTTCAATTCTGAACTTTTCTCTCAAAAACGTTCTAAGCTTCAAAACATCTGAATCACTCGACACTCCTAAACACACCGGCAACCCGACCATGATCATACTCGCACACATCTCAGGCGGACAACCGAGCTGAGTCCCCCAAGACTTAACCAACATTTGACCCATCTCAACAACAGACTCATGATTCCTCTTCTTAATACCATCAATCCCACCTTCAAACCGATTCACAAACTCCAAAATCGAAGGAACCACCAACTGAGCACTATAATCTCTAGTTCCAACCCACGAACTCTCAACCGCCAAACCGTTCCCATACTCATTCGACACAACAGGATGATGCAAATCCGCAACACCACCACCACCATTACTTGATTTCCTACAATACAAGAAAGCAACAGAAGGCGGTGCGAAAAACCACTTATGAAGATTACTTGTATAGAAATCAGCACCAATCTCCTTCATATCAACATCAACACAACCAATCCCATGAGCAGCATCAACAAAAACTTGGTCAACACCTTCGCTTCTACAAATCTTCACAAGCTCTTTAATCGGAATCACAACACTTGGCATAGAAGTCACATGATCAATCAAAGCTAACCTAACTCTCCTACCATTCGCTTTACCCGACTCTAAACCAATCCTAAACCGGTCAATAATTTCATCCGCCGATATAACCGGAAAAGGTAACTGTACCTCGATGACGTGTCCACCGGAGCGTGTAACATACGCTTCAACAGATTTCTTCACAGAGCCATAAGCGTAATGAAGCATAACCACCGCGTCGCCTTTATCGAACCTTCCTTCACGAAAAGCCCAAGCGGTTTGTTGAAGAACGATTGCAGCTGCAGTTGTAGCGTTATCAACGATCGAGACTTCATCGTCGTGCTCGGCGTTGATTAACCGTTTGATTACAGATCTAGAATCGGAGATTTTCGGTTTGAGTTCGTCGAAATAGAATCGATCCGGTTGACGAAGGAACCGGAGTTGCCAATCTCGTTGTAAAGCGAGGATTGATGATGGACAACAACCAAAGCTACCGTTATTGATTCGTGCAAAGTCTGGATCATGATGAGAAAACTCTGATTCGATCTCGGAACAAGATATGTAATTCTGAGGAGAGATTTTCGGTCGTTTGACGAAATCGGAAACCGATGATTCGACGTTTCCGTTGGTGGATGAGGAAGAGTATCTTTTGGAGTGACGGTGGTGATACGATGCTTTTTCCGGTGGAGATAGAGACGACGCCATTGATTGAGAGAGCTTGAAAGAGGAGAGGAAGAAGAAAAATTTGTTGCTTTCGATTTTTTCTCATTTTGATTTGATTAATCATATATATAAAAGTTGGCCAACTCTCTCCATATGAGTGACACATCATCACACAAGAAAATGACATATGTCATTCAACATTATTTAAATTAAAAATCATCAAAATTAATTGAAAGAAAATCAAAAGTCTCCTATTGTGTTAAATCCTCCAATAATCTATTTCTTAAATGATTTCTTCAAAATAAAAATAAAAGTATAAAATTATTTTAATAAATCAATTACTACTTTCATTTTACTTCCATTATTTTTCTAATTTTTTTTTTAATTTAATAGTCAATGGTCATCACTGGATAATGACTAAATAATTATTTGTGTTGTAGTTTAGTTGTTTGCTACCTAATATCTTATTAGTTTAGTAATTTTACGTTGAATATTTTTTTAATTATTATGTTATGGTTCATATCTTATCATATGACATTCTCTCTTTTCATTTTTGTATCTTATGGTAAGTTCGTAACATTGACATGCAAAATTTTACAAGTAATAGGCTTTTGAGACGTTAGACATACCACGAAATTCAAGACAAATCCATTTCTCTTATATGGCTATATGCAATAGCATAAAATCTAAAAGTGTTGCTTAAATCACTCTTTAATTTTTACTTTCTTTTTCTTCTTTTCATACGAAAACTCTTGAGATCAAAATATTTTATATTCTTGTTGTGCGTATTCATAATAATGAACAAATACTAGAATCTTAGATATAAAAATAATCAGATTATACATGAAAATGTATAATTTGATATTTAGAGTCAAAAACGAATCTAACAATAAAAATTGTAAGTACATAAGATTAGTCTAATTTTATTAAGTATACAATAACAAACAAAAAAATAAACACAAATTAGCAACAAAAACAATTAACATATTTTTATCTTAACAATTTTTAAAACAAACCCACGCCTAGCGTGGGAATTCATCTAGTAATTATAAAAAGAGGATAAAGACAAGTGGTGAAAGTGCGGTGCCACGACGACTTAGGAAACTGTGACAAAAAGAGGTTTTTGTTGTTGCGGGTCACGTGACTCGCGCGTGGTTTAGGAAGGTCACCTACCAAACAAACTTCACTCACGTGTTAAATGGTCTTTAATTTTTGTACGGATACTCATGAGTGTTGACACCTCTCAACGGTTCCTTTTTAACGGTTCTAGTATTTAAGATTAACAAACAAACACATGAGCAAAAATTGAAGACAAATGTAAAGTTTTTTTATGTTCTGTTTTTCAAATCTGTGGAAGGAGCCATAATGTAGAATTACATAGAAGTACAATCATGATGTAGCAAACTTAATCTTCGTCGCTATCGTTGCTGAAAACCGATGCGATTGCTACTTTTGGTTTCTTGGTGCTGCTTGTGGGTTGGCTCTGCGAAGATGAAAGAGATAACTAGTTTTAGTAATCAGTGAGTAAGGGATGTTAGCCTTGGCCCGCTTTTTGCTCGGCTATACTAAGTCCGGCTTGTATTAGGCTCTGCCCGTATATAGCTTGTAGTGTTGTGAGTTTTCGTACCTTTGATATACTGCCGCTTTTTGAAGAGAAGCCAAACTTCAATGTTTTTCGCTGATCTTGGACAGTAAGTGGTGCAACCGTGGTTTTAGCTGGTGTAGAAACCGGGACATTCACTGGGTCTTCTTGCTGGTTCTGTTGCATCTGCTGTTGTTTGCGAGCATCAGCCCTATAAAGTCAAAGAAAAATCTGGGTTTAAGTCCAATGCATCATAATCTTTTGAAACAAGTAAAAGGGAAGATGTACTAGAAACGTTTTGAGCACATTTTAGTCATCTCCCTCTCCTGACGTTGCTGCTCTCGCTTCTTCCTGTCATCGCGGCTACTTGCACCGTGCATTTCTTTCATTTCTTTGAATCGCTGCATAATACCAATACTTTGATGTATTCAGCTTGGAAAAAGCTATAAAACAAGGATCAAGGGAATTAGAGTATTAGTTTACCTTCTTATGGTTGTGATCGTATGAGCTCAAGTGACCTTCAAATTCCATCACCGTTCTATACTGTTTGCTGCAGAGTTCACAATAGAAGACTTTACGGATTTCTTTTACATCGCTCTGGATCTTCTGCTCACGTTCTGCTAGGACCTGGATTGTCATAATGGGCACGAAGCGGGCAGTAGAAAGCCACCAACCAGGTAATAAAAGACTGCAGTTTTTTTTTTCTTTCCCCTTTACGATATTACCGTCAAAAGACACGGATATACGCTATACACACTGCTTTCTGTTCGTTTGGGTATCGAAAATTAAAGGCATCGTTTCCAAATATGTTTTGAGCGCATACCTCCCGTTTCTTTGCGATTTCCTCAGTCTCCTCAATCTCGCTATCAAGTTTCTTCCGCTGGATATTTTCCTCTGCAGTGAAATAATCATCTTCTTCTTGTTTTCCTAAACCAAGTCTTCGATCCCTGATACCGGACTTTATAGGCTCCGTTATACCTTAGCATAAACACAATATCAAAAGATGAAACACAACTCTAAATTTAACCAGTTTGTGAATTCTGACTACACACACACACACCTTGCTCTTGCTTTCCAAGACCTTTTCCTTTCCAACCCATTTTCTGAAGAAGACGAAACCCGACATTCGACGACGATATCTTTGTATCTAAAGAAGCTTGCTCCACATCCTCCAAATCAACATTTTCAGTAACCCTATGAGTAATCGGCAATCGAAATTCCTCTGCCAATCCCTCAATAAAAGACTCTTGATTCATCTATAACAATTTAAAACCACAAAATTCATATATCAAAGAACAAAAAACACATAATAACTTGAGTATAAAAACCAGTAATGGAGAAAATTGTGAAATTGACCTGATCCTTCTCATAAATCCGTTTCTCTCTACTACTTGCTTCCGTCTTACTTTCACGTCGCCTGATATCCATTCCTCTATATCAATCAACCTAAAATCCAATGTACTGTGTTCTGAGAGATTCACGAAATTAGGGTTTCTGCGATATAGCGATTCAAATAAACACCTACTAGTCTAGGTAAAGTTTATATGAGATCGAAAATTAGGGTTTAATTAATCTCAGATCGACACAAACCTTGGAGGCGAAGGAAACTTATTTGATCTAAAGATGGAAATTGAAGAAGCTTACCTGAGAGTTTCTCGAGCGAAAGAAATCGGCGCAGGCGAGACGAACAACAATGAACAATCAACGTTGAATTTTTTTTTTTGTTTTGGTCTTTCTTTTGTTAGCAGGCCCGGGGCTTTTAGGATTGGGCCCAAACAAATAATTTGGGAGACAATGTATTTAAACTATGGTAAAAATTAGGCATGGTCAAATAAACCGAACCAAAACCGAAGTAAAAAGAACCGAACCAAACCGAATTGAACCAAAAATTTAAAAATAACCGAATGAATACTAAATTCTATAACCGAAAAAACCGTAACCGAATCGGTACCGAACCGAAATATTTCAGGTAACCAAAAATACCTGAAATACAATTATATTTCAGTATTATTAGTTATATATAGACCAAATAATCAAAAATACTTGAAAATATATAAAAATAGTAAAAATACTCGAAAATAACCGAAAAATATCCAAAAATATTCGAAAATATCCAAAAATAACCGAAATATCCGAAAATATCCAAAACAAAATAACAGAATGGATACTAAATTTTAAAACCGAAAGAACCGGAACCGAACCGAAATTTCAAAATACTCGAATGGATACTAAATTTTAGAACCGAAAGAACCGAAATCGAATGGAACCGAACCGATAACCGATCGGATAATCGTATGTCAGGACTAGTAAAAATGATTGATGTACATACACTAGCCTACTTGTAATATGTGGAAGTATCTTGCCAGTGATCAAAGGTTTAATTTTTTTTGTACCAGGTATAGATTCCGGTTTAAGAGTACATTCTCTTACAGAGTTCAAGAATAATCGGAAATTCAAGAATGCTACATATACATCATGGTCTCGAGTTTTAGGGATAAGATTGTTCATCGTTTGTATGATACATATAAAAATCGTAAGTAGGAAATGCATGTATTGCAGGGAAAGGTGCACGTCATAGAGTTATTTGTAGACTCGTTCATCATATATAATAGGATTAGATCAAAATATATATGATGATGATAGATGACCAAAAACAAAACACTAGCCTACTAATTTTTGCACTTGTTTAAGAAAGGGTTGATGTGGTGACAAAATAGTATATAAATAACATTTTATTTTGCTATTTTTTGTAAATATAAATTTTTTCATGTGTGTTTAAACAAATAACATGTTATTTTATTCAATGATATATTATTTTACGTAATTAAAAAACATGAGAAAAAGTATTTGTTCATTTATGATTTTTACCACTGCGTCAATTTCCCTAATAAGTATCAAAATTAGGTTATCTAATTAATCTTAAAATATTATGACCATTGTAAGAAAAGATTCTTTTAATAATAAATCTAAAGAGAAATAACAAATAAATAAAAAAAAACTAATGAAAAAAAAGGAAACGATTCTTCCACTAGTTGTGGTTTCCTATAAACTCCATTTTTCTTCTGGTATCTATTATAAATAAATTAAAAGTTTGAAATTTACATTTGTTCATATGATTGGTCATGGCAAAAAGATGAATGACTTTTGTAATGGCTTGTATATGGTGTTAGTGAGCTTAGTGGATAACTTTTACTTTGAGATGTATACTATCTTTGGAGTATGCTTTATTTGAATTATCGTAATTAATCAAAAACTATATGCTATAAATTCTATACTATTTCTATGATTTTAATTCTATATGCCAATCAAATTACAAAATAATTTCCAAGAATTGTTGAACTTATCAGTCGTTTGGTAGTCTAACCTTAATTATGACTGAATTTAGTCTACAGTGTTCCAAAACCGCATTGATAATATATAAGGTGAACTTTTTTAGGTTTCCAATATATTAATTTACTTCTTCTTCTTCATGTATATTAACTCCAAAATGAGTAGATAGGGTTATCATAACACTTCATCT